GGGGGGGGGGGGTAAGGTTTTTTTTCTCTCTGATTTTTTTTTTACTGTGATAAAGTACACATAACAGAATTGACAAGCTTAGCCATTTTTAAGTGTACAGCTCAGGGCTATTAAATACATTTGTATTGTACAACCATCACTATTCATCTCCAGAACTCCTTTCATTTGCAAAATTGAAACTTTATACCTTTAAACAGTAACTCCACTTTCTCCCTTCCTCCCAGTCCCTGGCACCCAAAAATATATGTGGAATGAATGAATGAACAAATGAAGACATCAATGAATTTGACCTCAACTCTCCCCGTAAAAGCCAGAAGTACTGTCCCCTTCTGCTGGACTCCCATGATACTATCTTCACACCTTAGATTTATTTCAATCAATCTTAAATGACACCCCCCCTTTTTTTTTTCACAATGAAATTCTCCTTCAAGGCAGGAACTATGACTTATTTGAAAGGTTAAGCTTGGGTCCAAAAGCCCAACAGACCTACCCTCCATGTTGCTAGATCCAATGGGCAGTCGTAGTCCTCATCTTACAGCTTTTGCTACGGGTTAATCGTTCCCTCTTGCCTGACTACTCTCTTTACCTGGCTTCCAGGAGAGTACTCTTGATTTACCACCCACCTCACTGACTGTTCTTTCCCTTTGTTGGTTCTTCCTTGTCATCCTACCTCTTCATGTCAGAGTCCCAGGGCTCCATCCTGTTCTCATCTATTCTCTGTAGACCTTTAATTGCCCCATCTAGTCTCAGGGATTCAAATATCAGCTATATGCCGACGATGCCCAGATTTCTCTCCAAGCCTGCACCTTTCCTCTGAACTACAGGCTAGTATGTCCTATTGCCTGCTTCAAGTAAGATGTCAAGTGGACAAGAGGTCTAAGACATGTTCAATGTCTCAAGCTTCACATGTCTAACACAGACCCCTGACCTTCCTCCAGACTTGCTCCCCCCGAATCTTACCCATTCAGTTTAATGCAATGCTCTTCCAATTGCCCAGGTTAACAGGTTTGGAGTCATTCTCCTCTCTTCTCTTTCTCTCTTACTCTATGTCCAATCCTCACCAAAACGGATTTTTATATTCCGAATATATTCAGAATATGACCATTTCTCACCCCCTCCACTATTAACATCCTAGATTATTGCAAAAGCCACCTAACTAGTGTTCCTGCTTCCCTGCTGCTACTCTTGAGGTCATTCTTCCCTCCATCAATAGCCTGTTCTCAGTAAGGGAGGGGCTCTGTAATAACGCAAGTCAGGTTATGTCATTTCTTTGCTTAAAATCCTTCAAAGTCTTCCAAGCAAGGACAATGCCAAAGGAATGAATGTTTCTAAGTAGCCCAAGGGTAGGCCAGTGGGGGAGGGAGGGCCTTCAGGCCAGTGTCCTGTTCCCATCCATCTATTTTTTGACTGGCAGTCCCGACTGTACCTCCTATTATCTGATTTCTTAAAGAAAGGAACCTTTTTAAAGGGAGAAAATACAATCAATCAGCTTCCTTTTTCAGTTAGTGCACCGCAAGAAGCCAACAACACATTTCTCAAGAAGCAATATGTCAAGTCTGCCACTACGTAATAACTAGTTTCCGAAGATAAAGCTAGCCTTCCAGAGAATAGTCATTACCCCCTTGGTGGTGGTGAATCCTCCCTAAGCCCCTCTTCTCCTTGCTCCCTCCAGCTGGCCCCCAGCCCTGTGTGCCTAATTATCTAGTCTCTATCCCTCCCTTCCACCTTACTGCTGCTATGGCTGGAGGTGAAGTCCAAATGAATTAGCTAAGGTCTCATCAGTTCTCCTCGGAGCTACAGCAGCTTCCTAACCAGTCTCGCCACTTCTAGTCACTTACTTATTCCAGCTACGACCTCATACAGTACCTGGGATGATTTTAAGTAAACCTCAGTTTGATCAAGTCCCCTGCTTAAAACTCTCCAAAGAGTTCCTACATTGCCATACTATATAGTCATCAAGAACATATTACAGTAAGCCACAGTAAATATTCCTTTCTTTTTTAATCTTCCCTGGATGCTTTTCTTCTGCATTTTTCTTAAAAGGACATTGCTTGCCCCAACAGGGGTAGGCAAATGGTCCAGCCAGGTTAGAGTGCTCCATCCCCCAGCAACAGTGACTGGTCCAAAGGGGTAAGCACACTGCCCAAGCTGGGCCAGCCAGAGCCTTTCTCTGGAACTGAAGTATGGATTCGGAGAAAGGAATTCTCCCTTCACTGGAGTTGTTAAACTGGGGCCGTTAGCAGGGAAGCCCCCACAGGGAGGGTGGCCTGTCTGTAGGGGAAAAGACTGATGCCAACACACAAAGAACAGAAGGCAAGGAGCCAGGCAGACCCCGGCAGCAGCATCTCCCATTGTGAAAGCCCTTAGTTTTGTGAAGTCCTGCAGCATCCTTCCCAGTTATGAACCAGTAACTCCCCTCGCGTGCCTCAGCTAGTTGGAGTCCCAACAGGCCCTCCATGCTTTCCCCACATTGCTTCCTCTGCTCAGAATGCAAAATGAACACTCTTGGGTTTGTACGCAGCAGCCAGGCTTTCTCTGGGGAGCCTTCCCCGCAGGGAAGCGCAGTTAGCCCAGACTGCCTAACGTGCTGTGAAATGCCGAGACTGTACCCCTCTGTTGCACTTACACTCCTCCCCTGCCTTCCCAAGCTCATAGCGACTTGCCCACACTACAAACTGCAGACTCAACCTCATCTCTTCGCACTTCCTCGTAGCCCATGCAGACTTTCCTTGTCTCCCACTGTCACAGTCTAGAACCTCATAATTCCCTACCTGGACCCAGGCTACAGCCCCTGGTCTCTCTGCCTCTCCCCCCACCCAACCACTCCTCCACACTGTTATAAAGATGAACCTCCAATAGCCCTCATTCCACCTACAGAGTCACACCCTTGGTATTAGGGCCCTTCACATACTGGCCCCAACCTATGTTCTCTAATTTCTCCCAACCATTTCCCCTTCCAGGAAGATGGAGAAGTGCTTTTCTCTATTCCACCTGCTAAGTACAACTAAAAACCTGGGCATTATATATAAAACAAACATAAGAAGCCTCTGAAAGGCAGAGTGAAGAAGGCAGACCTGTTAGGGACCTCAGGGCCCCAGGCAAGACACTGTGGTGAGTTCCCTGCATTTTCTTCTTGCCTCACATACCCAAGACTTGAAACCAAAGAAGCTGGCAACTGGAAATGCCAACAGGCACAGACAAAAAGACCCCACCCAAAGCTTGTTCCCTCCAGCAAGACAGAA